AATTGCAATCCTCCTGTAGTTTTCCAGCTTTTAGTTCAGTAATTCAAAATATTATTCTCCAACACATCCTCTGTAATCTGTAGTCACAAGAAGTTCCTTAGCACGTGATCAAGCTTCCCATGTTATATTCCCCTTCAAACAAAAAAGTTCATGCCTATGCTTATAGCTCCCCAATAACTTTAATTTCTCGTGAAAGTCAGTACAAGAAATTTATACATTAAATTTTTCTGTCATTTTTGTTGTTGAATGTCACCAAAAACCCAGCCCTTGTTACACACTCCATGACCTCACCACAGTTGTAGTTCCTCTAAAAAGAAAATGTTAGTCATATGGCTTAATTCAAATCATAATTTTTTTTTATAAGTAACTAATTCCATTCATAAATGATTACTGGAACATAAGAAATGACTTAGCATTATTACAGCAGCAACACAAAGGACCAGATAAAGCAATGCCAACATACCTACAAGCAGAATTTGTGAGAATTACCTATCTATCTTTGAGCTATGCATGTGCATAAAAGAACCATCTATCTAGAACAAAAAACAAACAATGGCATGATCTCCTAGAAGTTCCATAACATCAAGCCATATTTAACTTGTTCTAGCACATATAAATAAAATAACATTTCTCTAAACATCGAAACATGCATTGGACACCAGTGGACATGAGTATCAAATGTTTACCACGCCCCAGTTATTAACAGGAAAAAAAAATGTTCCACATATTGCAAATGTTAACCCGTCCAGAAAGGGAGAAAAGGATGAATACGCAAAGATCAAGTAGCCACTCTGCACTTCTTTTTTATTTGAGAGGGGAGGGGGAAGAGTTATTATCTGTGTTACATGGACTCCTCCATTTTCCCCTAAAATACCCATGTCCATTGGATATGACATGAGTAAGGGTGTAGGATATGTGTCCAACACTTGTAACTAATTTAGACACTTGGATCCTTTAATTTGTTACAATATATGAAGAAAAAGAAACTCACATTTTGCTAATAAAGCAATACTTTTAGCCTCTCACGTGAATTAGAGATAAAAATTCCGTATTTTTTTTAATCCTATTTAATTTCTAGTATGTTTCTATATAATTTACATCTCATCCGAAAAAATTATATAATATGCAATATATATATATGACGGGTCTCTGTATCCATATCCAATTTTGGATAAGTATCCCAAGCTCCTAAGACCTAAGATTTAAGTTTATGAAGGTCTACGCTTTGATACACACCTGCTTCCAATACTCGTACCCATTTCCATGTAACATAGGTTATTATGCAACTTTTGCAGGCCCAAATCTTTATCAACTTATAGTTTCTGACAAAACAATTTATCACGAACTGTTGTGATTCCAAAGTGGCCTATTACATAGGCATAGGCTGTGTTTGGATCTTGTACTCATGAAGGGATTTGTGGAAGGAAACAAAAAAAAATGGATACTCCTTCATGCACTTTTCCCCTTCCTTGTCTCTCAGCTTCTCCACAAATCCAAGATATAATGGTAATGAATTAGAGAGATTGAATCTTAACGCATATAATAATAATAAGACAATCTAGTTGTTCATTCCACCATGCCTATGATACAAACTAGTACACATAAAAAAGCAATTGAGAGATAAAAAGTAAAGAGCAAAAGAAGAATAAGGAGCACTTACTGTGCAAAAACAGCAAGAAGATCGCCTTCAGTGAGATCAAAGGGAATGCCTCCGACAAAGACAGAAGCAGAATCTTTGTACTTGGCGTGCCAGGAAGCTTGTTCAGAAATACCTAACGCAGCTTCTTTCGAATTGATATTCTGAATTCGTTTCACTAGCGTCAATGGATTCATAGCTCCAACGATGGAGGATCGCCTGAAACCCTAATCGTTGTTCACTCCTTGCTGCTGCTGAACAGAGACAAATATATATGATGTCAAGGAAGGTTCAGTTCCCTCCATTTTTGACCTAATTGATTTGTTAGAAGGGGGAAAAAAAAAAATTGTATAAAACTTTAAAAGTGATTCGAACCTCATCTCGTAATTCTCATCTCGTAATTCTCTAAAAAAAATATTTTTTTTAAAAAAAAGGTGGGATTCAAACAAGACACGTAAATTCAAAGCATTACCAATATAGCCGAAGCAGAGTCACTCGTCTTTGGTGAAATCCCAGATGGGTTGGGAGATTTAACCAATCTCAAACAGATTACACTCTCCAGAAAACAATTTCAGCAGCGAAGTGTCTCTAAATCTAGCCAAATTGAAGAAACAGAAGCTTCTTGATCTCAGCCAAAATGGGTTCGTAGGAAAAGTCCTGGAATCAATAGAAGGATAAATAGAGCTTTTGAAGATCGACCTCAGCTCAAATTGCAAGGTCTTGTCGTGGTGGAGCATGACAAAAACCACAAACCACAAAAAAGATATATATATATATATACACACATCCAATTTTCGCACAAATCAAACACAAACACAAAATTAATTTTGGCACAAATCAAACACACAGACCAACAAATTCTTGAATTGATGAGCAGGGAGAAACAAACGATAGAAGGGCAGAGGAGAGCAGAGGAAAGCAAAGGAAGGCTATACCTGGATGCCGGAGGGAGAACCAGAGAGACGGTGTTGTTGCCACTGCAACAGAGACGGTGTTGCCGCTGCTACAGACGCTGTTGTTACCGCTGCACGAGAGACAGAACGACGACTGGGTGAGAGGGAGGGTATGCGTGAGCAAGAGCGAGAGGAAAGAAGAGGGTTGGTTACCTAGACGCTGCTGTTGCCGGTGCAAGAGAGATAGAGTGACGACTGGGTGAGAAGGAGGAAGAGAGCAGTGAGATTAGGGCTTTTTTTTTTTTTTGATCTGAAGAGATAACAGAGAATTTGGGAATATCGGGAAAGAGGGAGAGTGGGAGAGGGGGCTTTGGCGCGAAATTAGGAATTATTATTTGCGACGATTTTAAGGCCGTCGCAAATGAAAGAGAAAAAAGTAAAATTTTGCGACGGATTGGCAAAACTGCGTCGCAAAACAGGAAAAAAAAATTAAAATCAGAAAAATTTTGCCATGTTTAATTTACCGTCGCATATAATCTTATTTTTTGCCACGGTCTAACTTTTTCCATCGCAAAAACTATAAATTTTGTGACGGCACTTAAACCGTCGCAAAAAGCAAGCTTTTGCGACGGCACTTAAACCGTCGCAAATTGTTCCGTGTCAAATGCTCCTTTTTCTAGTAGTGATACTTACACCGTGGCGGAAAAGTTACTTCTTTTGTGAAAGAATTTTTGTCATAAGATTTATATCTTTTCTTGAAACATACACCTTTTGTGAAAGCCCAACTTAAACCTTTTTCTGAAGTCACTTATATCTTTTGTGAAGAAAAAAAAATCGTAAAATTTATATCTTTTGCTAAAATTTACATGGTGTAATTTTCAGAAAAGGTATAACTTGTTTTACAAAAAATATAAATATTATGTGTAAGTTGTCATTCACATATAGTGTAACTTTCAGAAAATGTATAACTTGTTTTAAAAAAGATGTAAGTATTACGTGTAAGTTGTCATTCACGTATGGTGTAACTTTTAGAAAAGTATAACTTGTTTTACAAAAACCGTAAGTATTATGTGTAAGTTGTCAAAATTTTTTGAAATAAAATTTTTCACATATGGTGTAACTTTTAGAAAATGTATAACTTTTTTTACAAAAGATAAAAGTGTTATGTGTAAGTGGTCATTCACATATGGTGTAACTTTCAGAAAAGGTATAACTTGTTTTACAAAAAATGTAAGTATTATGTGTAAGTTGTCAAAATTTTATGAAATAAAATGTTCCACATATGGTGTAACTTTGACAAAAGGTATAACTTGTTTTATAAAAGATGTAAGTATTATGTGTAAGTTGTCAAAAATTACGCATTTGGTGAGCAATTTTACAAAAGTTGTAAGTTGTCAGAAAAGTGTAAGAACTTTCACAAAAAAGTGTAAGTTCTCACAAAAGGTGTAAGTTTTCACAAAAGCAGTAAGTTTTCACAAACGGTGTAAATTTGCAAAAATCCCTTACGCCTTTTTTCTGAAATTACTTAGGCCTTTTGTTAAAATTTACGCCTTCTGTGAAAATTTACACATTTTGTGAAATTATTTACACATTTTCTGACAAAATTACACTTTTAGTAACAGGAAATAAATAAAAATGGAAACTAAGTCCTATTAATTAAATGTCCAAAATTCTAGCCTTTACACAATCCCATATATATATGTAGATGGCTTTCCATAACAAGTAAAGAAATTAGAAAAAAAAAAACAAAAACAGGAAATAAATAAAAATGGAAACTAAATCTTATTAATTAAATTCCTGAAATTCTGACGTCTTCTACATCACATGTCTTCATTCGCCTCTTTCCTTGATCCCCGTCATTTCTCCCTATAGTTAAAAGGACTCTCCTCTGGAAAGTAATGATTGAGATAATGCTCCAAAAGTGAGGGATCAAGTCAATGGAACTCTTCATTGGTGATCCATGTGTCATCGGTGTTAGAGTGGTTCCTTGAGCTCACAAGATAGCAATGATAACCATCATTAGACACACCGTCTTGAGTGTCCAAGACTTCATCAATCTGATCACATGAAACTGTGGACGTCGTGGAGAATGAGGAACATAAATCAGCATTGACACAGAAGAAAATTTTGTAGGCAAACCTACCCACAAAGTGGGAGGCTCAAAAGTGTCACAGTAGGAAACCAATCCTTAACATTGAAAACATGATTAATATTCATATGTGAAAGCAAAATATGCAAAATTGACTAATATTTTACGATCTCGAGGGAGTAAAATTTAATGGTGGATTTTACATGTTTGTCCATATAAAATAAGGAGTAGGTAGGATAACCGTACGAACCGCATGAAAAAACCAAGACCGAAAGTCAAAATTGGCGGTGTCCTCCTCGTTGTCGATCTTCAAGAGCTTCTCAAACTGAAAGAAGACTCGTCAGCCTCCTTCTCTGATTTCTCTCTCTCTCTCTCCTCTTCGATTTTCAAGGGTTCCCTGTTTTGGTCCAATTCTAGTGGCGGCTGCTATTCAACTCAAACAACAATCAAACCTCACAAACAAACAGTGATGTGAAAGCTGTGTTTTTGCACAAAAATGTTTACCCAGTATTGCCCCTGAATGCCTTGCTTTGCTCCTTCTCTCATCATCCACTGTAAGTTTTGTAATTTTTTTTAAATTCCCAAAAAAAAAAAAAAAAAAAAAAAATCAAAACTTTGAAGGTGTTGAGTTTCAATTTCAGTTCTGCAAATCAAAGGGCATTTTCTCTTTTTATTTACAACATCATTATAGATTTGGGTTTAGATATATAAGTGATGCCATGAATCTCTTGCTAGCTTAATCTCAAGTTTTAATTTGATTTTGATAAAAAAAAATTAAAATTAAAATTAATTTGTGGGTGTGTTGGATATAAATACATCTTTTGCATATGATTATAGTTTAGCAAGTCAAAGCTAGATATAAGTAATCTCAGTTGAGTAAGTGATTTTCTTTATACATCTGCTAGTGAACTGGGGTCTGATTCATTGACACCACAGAAGAGTTGGCATTGAAACCTGGTTTATATAATTGTGTGATCTTGAGAATTGTGGAGAGTCCAAAATGGAGGATATCAGTCCGAGGACTGATACTTCAACCGATGGCGATACTGATGACAAGAATTTGAGGGTGATTCCTCCAACCCTTTTTGTTTGAGTTATTTATGTTTTTCTTTCTTTATGGGTCTTTTGATGTTGTATGCTGATAATTGACATTTGTGGGTACAGTTTCAAAGTGATCAATCTCAAGCCATTGTTACTTCTGATGCCAGTGACAAGTCAAGGGATCAAAAGGTTAAATTAGTTTGATTGAATTATATGTTTGACATTTGATTTGATTCTATTTCTTCTTTTTGATTTGTTTGCTTAACTATTAATTATGCAGACACTTCGTAGGCTTGCTCAAAATCGCGAAGCTGCAAGAAAGAGCCGTTTAAGGAAAAAAGTAGGTTCCCTGGACACTGGGATTATTTTCTTCTCATTATCTTCTTGTTCTTCTTTTTCTTGTAGGTAGATCACACTTTCTTTGAAATGTTGTCAAATTTCATTCTCCAACAAAACTTCCTTGATTGGTGATTACGCACATAATGTGTGTTATTTTGACATTAAAGAACCTGATACGACATCAAGAAAAATGTGGACGTGTTGATATGTAAGGGCAGAGCGAAATTTATCCTGACATTTACAACGTACTATGAATTTGTTGCATTCAATTTCCCCTGTGCAATGTCTGATGTAGAACCGAGAAGACGACCAACATAATAACCACTCTAGGGTTTCCATAAACTATCTCAATATATATTCATCCAGAAGTAACTGTTCCTTTACACAATCCCATATATATATATGTAGATGGCTTTCCATAACAAGTAAAGAAATTAGAAAAAAACAAAAACAAAAACAGGAAATAAATAAAAATGGAAACTAAATCTTATTAATTAAATTCCTGAAATTCTGACGTCTTCTACATCACATGTCTTCATTCGCCTCTTTCCTTGATCCCCGTCATTTCTCCGTATAGTAAAAGGACTCTCCTCCGGAAAGTTATGATTGAGATAATGCTCCAAAAGTGAGGGATCAAGTCAATGGAACTCTTCATTGGTGATCCATGTGTCATCGGTGTTGTGGTTCCTTGAGCTCACAAGATAGCAATGATAACCATCATTAGACACACCGTCTTGAGTGTCCAAGACTTCATCAATCTGATCACATGAAACTGTGGACGTCGTGGAGAATGAGGAACATAAATCAGCATTGACACAGAAGAAAATTTTGTAGGCAAACCTACCCACAAAGTGGGAGGCTCAAAAGTGTCACAGTAGGAAACCAATCCTTAACATTGAAAACATGATTAATATTCATATGTGAAAGCAAAATATGCATTACGTCCAAGTTTGTGAATGATATGAAAAGGTCCAGTGGCTTGAGCATGAAGCTTTTTGAAAGAATGTTCAAGATAATGCTTAGGGTGTACAAAAACCATAACATAGTGCCTTTCATTGAATTCTAGTATCCTATGATGCATGTCAGCAACAAATTTATAATGTTTGTTACTCATGGTAATTTTCCTTCTAATATTGGCACGTAAGTTATGAATGTGTTTGACAAATGATTAAGCAGATTCAGAGGGACGGGCATCTAGAGGCATCTAGAGGCAATTAGATAAGGTCAATTGGTTGGTGAGGGAGCATACCATGAACAATCTCAGAAGGACTTTTACCCGTAGACCAATTGACTGAACTGTTATAAGAGAACTTCGTAGTTGGTAATACTAAATGCTAGTTTCCTGGTTTGTCACCCACAATGCATTTAAGCAAATCACCCAAATTTCTGTTAACAACTCAGTGTGTATGTCAGTTTGGGGGTAAAAAGTTGAAGGAAACTTTTAAGTAGTACCAAACAATTTCCAGGGTGTCTTCAAAAAATAACTAACAAACTTGAAATCTCTATTAGACACAGTGGAAGTAGCTAACTCATGTAATCTAACAACCTCCCTGAAAAACAATTTAGCAACATGTGACGCTTCAATTGTTTTGCAAGGAATAAAGCGGGCTATCTTAGAAAACCTGTCACTACCACTAGAATAGAATCATGACATCTAGCTGTTTTAGGTAATCTAAGGACAAAATCCATGCTAAGGTCTTTCCAAGGTGAGTGTGGAACAGGCAAGCGAGAGTACAATCTAGTGTTCATTCTCTCGATCGACGCCTCATGCTCCTCACATATGTCTTCATTCTTCCCTTTACTTAATCCCCATCATTTTTCCGCAACTAAAAAGGACTCCTCTCAAGATTAATGACTAAGATAATACTCCAAAGGCACGAGGTCAAGTTGACGAAACTCATTTTTGGTGATCCATTTGTCATTAGTGTTAGAGCGATTCTTCCATCTCACAAGATAGTGATAGTAACCACCATTAGTGATAGTAACCACCATTAGAAGCACCGACATTTTTTTATGTTTGATGACTTCATCAATCTGATCATCATGAAACTAGGGAGGTCGCGGAGGACAAGAATAAAAACCTAGCAGTGACAGAAAAGAAAGTCCTCTAAGCAAACTTGACCACAGAGTGGGAGGCTCAAAAGTGCCTTGATCATCAACATTGAAAACCAGACTAATTTTCATTTTTCAAGGCAAATCAAGTAAATATGCATTATTAGGTCTTGCTCTGATACCAAATGGTGTAGAACCAAGAAGACGAATGGCAGAATAACAACTTTAGGGTTTTCAAAAGATGTATTATCTCTCAGTTTTCATTCATTCAAAGTAATGGTTTCTTTTCACAATCCCATATATACATGTGGATGACTTTCCATAATCAATAAGGAAATTAGAAAAAAAGAGTAACAGGAAATAAATAAAAATGGAAACTAAGTCCTATTAATTAAATGTCCAAAATTCTAGTCTCTTGATTGACATCTCCTGCGCTCATTACACATGTCTTCATCTTGATCCCCAACAATGTCCTTGTCAGAATATGCTACTTTTAATAAAAGTTAGTGATTCTTGACCTTTTCTGTGAGAAGGTCTCTCATCACAAACTTTTTGGAAGATATAAATTTCTAAAAGAACTTCTCATTCAAATCAGTTTATTTTTAATTTGAATAATGATGATTTCATTAATTTATTTTTGAATTGATTGATCACATTTTGATAAATTAACATATATTTTAGGGAAAAGGAAATATTCAGATTCAACAGATAAAGTCTTAAAACTTTTATTTTGATCTTTAATTTGCTGTTATGACTTATGAGTGCTCTATATAATTAAAAGCAGAGAGCCATAATAGATAAATTTTTTATTTTTAGACTAGTGCTCTGCTTATTTAAAGAATTTAGTTTTCAACTATGAAGCACGGATACTTCAAAAAGGGTGACGTATCCGTATCGGATACTTATCAGATACCGATACTCCTCGGATACTCGCGGATACGTATCGAATACTTCTTAAAAGTATCGGATACTTCTTAATTAATTTTTTATTAATTTTGAAGTATCGGATACTTAATTTTGAAGTATCGGATACTCGAAGTTACATATTACTTATAATATTTTGTTTAGTTATTTGATAAGAAGAATATAGTGAGAGTTAAAGTAATAGAATTTGTCAAATTGATGTATCCTTTTTGTCTCTCTCACTTCTCTCTCGCTTTCTCACCCTCTCACGTTTCTTCTCTCTGCTCTCATTCTTTTTTTGGTGTTGGAATGTAAGGATGATGTTTAATTTGCATTTGCTTTTGCTTTTGCTTTTAGTTTTGGATGTTTTATGAATGTTTGAGCACTTTTAGGTTAATAGGAATTCCTCTTTTTATTTATTAATTTACTTTAAGTTTTATTTTCATGCATATTACATTATTAAAATTATAATTTTCTTTTTTTTACGAATGTATCCCCGCTGTACCTGTATCATACTTTTTCAAATTTTAACATATCGCCATATCCACATCCCCATATCACCATATCTGTATCCGTGCTTCCTAGGCTATCATTGATGACTTAAAAAAGTATATTTGCTGAAATTTTTATTTAAGAATGGTTTTTTGGCTTTAGCTAAGGTCTGTGATATTCACTGATGAAGGGGAACAAGTTGAAGCTATTGACCTTGAAGACTCTTAGTTTTATAAGAATTTTTCTTCTTTATCAAGTTATCTTTTGCTTTAGGTTTTATTTTTATGCATACTGCATTACTAAAAATTGTTAAAATAATATTTTTTATGAACGTATCCCCGCCGTACCCGTATTCTAGTTTTTCAAATTTTGTCGTATCGCCGTATCCGTATCGTATCGTATCCGTATCCCGTATCCGTATCCGTGCTTCCTAGGTTTTCAATGCATAATTACATGGAGAAGCCATTGCAAACTTTAGTGACACAAAACTAGAACCCAAACTCGGCTACTTATGTTCAAGCTTATGCATGTTCATGAACCTGACAAACACATACCTAAAGTGATATTTATGAATTGCATTTGTTCCAATTAATTTATTTGGCAGGCTAGCCATTTAATTATATTTGTTTTAATGCAAGAACTTAGTCAATGTGTAACATATGATTTGGCACATATACTTTATTGTAAAAGTTGGTTGATGTGAGTTCAAATGACAGATCATCCTTTAAATAGATGGACAAAATTATCCTTATCTTTTCTATCTGAAAGAAGTAAAACACCCTAGCAGAAGCAAGGATGATACAATATTGAAATGTGACATAAGTACCAAAGCTAGCTGGCATGAGCCTCCAGAAGTGTACTCAGAATAAACTAATGTGGTTGAATTTCAACATTTCAGAGTCAATAAATTTTTTTAAATAATAATAATTTATTACTTAGTGTGTATATGTGCTTACTCTAATATTTTGAAGTTCTAAACAAAGCTTTCCTAACTGTTAAGCTTTCATATGCATTTTGTTTTTTAATTGTTGAGCAAATTCTTTGTAAACATGTTTGTTTTGTCACCTACAAAGCATGGCTGCTCCAAAAATATTGTTGTAGGGTACTTATTCAATAAGGGTACTCGAAATACTTTGGGTACAACTCAGGTACGGGATGGGTACAACTCAGGTATGGGATGGGTACGTTTTGGATGCTTTTGTGGGTACTTCAGGCCGTAAATGTAATTTTTTAAAACCATATGTGTACTAAAAAATTATATTGTGCCTATTTTAAATAGGGTAAACTACCAATAGGTCCTAATAGTTGGACTTAATTCCCATCAAGTCCTATTGAAAAGAAGTCTTGGTAAAATTGTCGCTAAAAATAATTTTTTTGTGATAATTTTTTATATATGTCACTAAAAATTGACAATTAGTGACTTTTTTGTCATGATTTTTATAAATTATCATTAAAACTTACAATTAGTGACTTTTTTTAGGACAAATTTTTCCCATAGGACCTATTAGATAATAAGTCCACTTATTAGAATCTACACGTAAGTACCCCTTTTAAATATAGGGTATTTTTTTAATTATAAAAAATATAAAAAAAAAATGTAGGGTTCCTTTTTTTTTTATCACTTTAAAAATACTTTAATTATTTTTTACATGTGATTTTTTAATTCTTATATGTGATGTACTACGACAAATTATAGAAATATATTTTTATGGACGTACCGTTCCGTAGCCACATCCTATATTTTTAGGTTTTGTGCATAGTTGTCAAATCAGGATTCGTATCATAAATCGAAATGGCCTCGTACCGAATCGCGAATCGAATCGAATCATGAATCGTAAAGATTCTGTCACTTTTTCTAAATTACTTAAAAACATATATCTATACATTTAGATGTTAAATATCTTATGAATATGAAATATTTAGACTTAAATCAATAAAAATGTTATTTTGAATGATAATCACGTGGTTAATAGGTAAGAAGTTAACGAAGGTTCCTATGTGAAATCACCATCTTACACTTTTTTTTTTAGATATTTCTTATTAACCATTCTTAATAAAGATAATAAAAAAATAGACAAATTATGAATTTCCAAAGTAACAATAATTGACAACGATATTGATATTTGGGCAATAAGCATATATACCTTTTTAAGTAACAGTGAGCAAATAATAAGAAAGAATTATTTCGAATCTTTTATTTTAAAACCCAAAACATTTTAAAAAGGTATAAGCAAGGTTTTAAAAAGCGGCCGCAACCGTTACGTAACGCCGTTACGTAACGGTTTTGGCGGTTACCGCCACCCGTTACGGCCGCTTTTGCAGTGTGATTGAGATTCACAGGTGTGTCGGCCGAAGCGGCTGCTATAGCAGTCGTTACGTTGCCGTAACAGCCGTAACGGCCTGTTACGCACCGTTACGTAACGGTTCCAAACTGTTTCTTTCGAAAAAACACACAAAAAAAAAGCTGAAAATGGGTGAGGAGGGATAGAGAGACGAGGGAAGATAAAGAGAGGAAATAGAGGAGCAAGAGATAGAGAGAGAGAGAGAGAGAGAGAGAGAGAAGAGGGAAGATGAAGAACATGTTATTGATTTGTTGAAACTATAAGACCTATGTTATTCTATTCAGTTGCTACCACTAAACCGTTTTGTTTGTGTCTATCTATATATTATTTGAAAATAATAATAATAATAAGTGTGATCATTATCTATTTGGCTTGGTTAAAATATGTATATGTATATATATATATATATTTAGGCTCTTATTTATTCTCTTACTTTTGTCATTATTTATCTTATATATAATAGTTAGTGATTAATTTTTTGTAAAATATAAAGTCATTAATTATTAAAATAAAATGTAAAAAACTTAGTTTATAATGATTTAAAAATATGAAATATATTAGATCATACTTAAAAATTTATAAAAATTGGTCAATATTTATTTTTAACCCAATAAATATGATCATGGAAAAAAAATATGCGTATCGGTAAGTTTTTTTCAAATTATGCGAAAAATAAAAAAATTCACGGTTCCGGTTACCGCAACCGATACACTACGGCCTTTACACCCCACAACCGCAACCACGTCACCGCCACCGTTACGGCGACCGCAACTGCTTTTCAGAACCTTGGGTATAAGTGACCTCACACATGTAATATTCAATTATATTCAATTTAATAAAACAACAATAGATAATTCATAGTGTAACTTTAATCTTAAACATCTTTAGAAAATATATTATGATTTTTTAAAGGGAAAAAAAAATGAGAAGAAAGTTTAATAATATGTTGGATCTGACTGAATCTGATTGGATCCTATTAAAAACTCCACGATCACTAAAATAATAACAAATCATGTATATATGTTGGTTATTTTGATATTAAACGCTATTAGAAGCTATATTATGTCATTTTCACTAAAAAGATGGAGAAAAAAAGAGTTGAAAATATGTCGGAGACAATAATTTGAAAAATTGCTTGAATCGTAAAAAGTGAATCGAATTTTGAATCGATTGTGAATCGTGTGATTTACTAAAGATTCACTTCCAAAATAGATTCACCCATAGATTCGTATTGATTTTGCAAAAATTGCGAATCGAATCGTGAATCGTAAGATTCTGATAACAGAGGTTTTGTGGTATTGAGGTACCTACATCTGTACCTGCACCCACATCCATGCTTCCTAGTTTGTCACTCAATCTAAGTTTCACCTGATATTTTCTTTGTTTTTCTTTTTTTTTTTTTGCTTTTTCTCTTTTTGGTTGAATAATCAATGAGATTCCCAAAGAAAGATGTACAACGCCAGATCTATGAACAATATTAAAGGGAAGAATAAGTGTAAATGCACAGGAAAAAAGAAGAAGCATTAAAGCTCATTCAAAGACATTAGACAATGGTACTCCAAAGTTATCAGCCTTCTGTTGTTATGAGAGCAGAATTAGTTGACAGATAGGAGAATTTAGATGGTATAGGGTTATTTACCGAGAATGTCTCGTCTCAAACCAATGGGAATCAAAACTATGGAGCAGGCTCAACACATAACGGTGGAGGGCTAAGGGAGAAAACAGAGAGGATCAGTTAACCAAAACTAAATCAAGAGGCGGTACTTTCTTGCATTTGGTCCATCAAATCATAAGTCTATTTATAGTCCACTCTCAATCTCTGTTTCCAAAAGGTCCCAGGTAAGATTTTGTGGTGTTTTTTTTTTTTTTTAACAGTGTTTGATGATTTGTGGTTTCAAGTCTTGGGGCCACCACTTTGTGCATTATGCTAAAGGTTAGGTGTGTACTCAATCTTTTCCCTCCCAAACACACATTAATGTGTACTAATTGGGCGTTGTTTTTTTTGTTTTTTAGTGTTTGATGATTTGATTGTGGTTGCTCTGCTGGTTTATCACTTTATTGACACCGACCCTAGAAGCATATGAAGAGCTTCAAAGAGAGCACAGTCCAATTACCTCCTAAAGAGGGCTGATTCTTCTGTGTTGTCACAGTGTTTGGTGGCTTCCCAGACTAAAAGGGATAGATTGTATAGGAGAAGGGTTTAAGTGCAAGAGCGGGAGGTTAGAGTTGGATAGAGGAATAGAGAAATTACCAATTGGTGAAGTATTTAGAGTTTTATTTGGTGGAGCCAAGGGTTGAAGAGGAAGATGGTTGGTGTGGGTTTAATTCTGATTACAGTTTTACATCATGTGAGGAAGAACATGGAATTTAAAGAGCAGGGAATCTGCAGTCTGGTATTAATCACAACTGTTTCTTTACACGAGTGATAAAAGTCGTGGAATTAATCCCTCAGGAAAAAATTTGTTATGGATTCTGCAAGGGCTTGGGGTCTACTAGAAAGAGAAAAATAGTGAAGGAATTCATTGACTTAAGGCTGATCCTGATATTATATTCACCCAGGAAATTAATATCAGTTGTATTGGTTGAAGAATTGTTATGGATACTTTTGAACCTAGGAAATCATTCTCCCATTATGTAGTGAGTTCTTGCCCAAGAAGCTGAGGCAATTCTTCAGGGGAACTTTGTCTGCCGGACATTTGTCAGACTCAGACCCTTATATGACACTCCTATCTGCTTTTTTAACACCTCTTGGACACCTGCACAATATAAGAACTACATTTTGTAATTTCAAACACGTGGTTGACACTTCTCAAACAATGTCCAGCACCCTTCAAATAGGATGAGCACATCCAGAAGTTTCCAGTCTTTTTTGTGTTTATTATTATTTTTAAGTAGAAAAAATATTTGACATCATTCAATGCTGCCACAGTTTGAGGATGTAACAATACTTTCAAATTTAGGAAAAATAATTAATTGTAAAGAAAAAAAAAAAAGCATAAAAGAGCGAAATAATAGTTGAATGAACAATATGTATGGATACATTATTTGTCTAGCTTTATTTTCTACATTAGAGAGGTAGAAAAAATAATAAATGTTTGTTTAATTGTTTTATGTAATTATGTTGCATATTGGTTAATAAAATTATTTTAATACGTATAGGTTAATAAAAATATCTGTATACGTATAGGTTTACCTTATTGGAGGATTTGAGTCAGTGATTGAAAAACTTTCTTTTCTCAATCTTGATTCGTTAGTTCTTGATGGCTTGCAACATTTTTTTCACTTCCGGCTTTTATACCACTTGAACTTAGTAGGAGAAGTTTAAATCCCAATTCATAGGCAGGGTTCATTCTTCCCAAAACCCCAGAGCCTCTAGCAGGCCTCCAACCCTGTCATCATCCGTGGGGATAGGCAGGAGATATGACTGGGCTAACTAGCCCTAGTGATAATGGTGTACATGATGTGTACCCAGGAGACATAACACTGCACTGCGGGCTTGTTAGCCTAGTTGCATCTCCCGTCTCATCCGGCGTTGGCAGTGACGGGATTGGTTTATTTTATTTTATTTTATCTTTATTTGTTTCTGTGAGTGTGTGCCTACGGAGAATTACCAATTTGCAATAATAATAATAGAAGGCTCAGTGTGTGCACAATATGCTTTCATCTTGAGGTGTTCTACCTTCATGCAATTGTTTCTTTGAAATGCCGTGTCAAAGTTTTGCATAGAGTTGCATCTTGATGCAAAAGTTTTGCATTTTTTAGGCTTATGTTCAACAACTAGAGAGCAGCAGAATGAAGCTTACACAACTTGAACAAGAGCTCCAACGAGCTCGTCAGCAGGTTTGATCTGACCACTTCTTGGTGTCTGTTTCTATTTCCAAAACCTTTTTTAATTTTTGTCTGTTTCTAATGTTTTGTTTTTCTTTTTCCTTTGCTGAAGGGCATCTTCATTTCAAGTTCAGGAGATCAATCTCAATCAATGAGTGGAAATGGTAATATACTATCTTCTCAGAACATTCAATCTGCTTATAGCATGTATATGTTTTTGATGAGAAGTTCCTAAGTGAAACCTGAAATCTTGTATTGTTTTAACTTCTGTGATGATATAGTAAAATATAGGATTATAACAATCTATTTGTGCAGTTGATGAACTCGATCTGGTGCATAATCAATTCCTTCTGACTTTATATTGGAATCTGATCCACTTATACTTTTTATTCAATAGCAATCATTATCATATTTTTTTTCCTTTGTAATATGCAAGAAACTCACACCCATGATCCAACTGGGACTTGAAGCCTGCATCTCATGCACAATGGCCATGTTAAAAATTATCCTATTATTGCATTCATAGAAATCTTCTGGATAAATCTGCAATTCTCCTTCACCCCTCCCTTACGAAGTTTGATTTATTATTCCCTCCTCCCCCACTTTTTTGTAAACAAAGGATGAAAATATGAAAAATGGGTCAAAATCCTTTTTTTTTTGTATTTGATATTGGATCTTTTGCCCAGTGGATTTAATGTTCTCAAACTCTCTAACAATCTGTTTTTTCAAGGATGCCACCATAACAATTGCCCTTTAACAATCTAGAATGTGGTTTGGTCATAGTTGAGAAAGGAAATAGACGTTATATTTGTGATTGGATTAGATTTAGATGAGCTCACTGGATTAGATTTAGATGAGCTCCTTCTTGTATTGCTTTTATTGAGTTTTTTGGCAGAGCTGACTTTTGTGGAGACAAGATTGGCTCATGTAGATTGTGCCTCCTTCCACATAAAATATTGCCAACACAAAGATCTAGCATGTGTAAGGACCAGCTGACTGAGCGATAATTTGATTTTACCTGTCTTATTTTTAGACAATCTTATATTTTTCTTTTTCTGATGGAACTATTGTGCTTTTTGGTTTATGAAGGATGAATGTGCAGGACAACTGTTACATAATAGAGAACTGACTTTGTAGATAGGAATGTGTATGTTGGGTTGGGATGCCAAGAGGTGGGTATAGTGAGGGCACCCGGAATGCTACCTAACCCCATCCTGACCTTGCCCTTATTTTAAACATTTCCCATTCCTAATTAAGAAGAGGCAAGTGCTTGAACTAGTTGTTTGACAAAGTATGTTTCTCCTGAGCACCTATGCAATGGGTAAGTTTGGTTATGCTAAACTTCTTTTCTTAGGTTGGGTTTGACAATTGCTTTTTCAGTAGCTTTTTTTTTTTTTTTTTTTTTAAAAAAAAGCTAAAGTTATTGCTAAAAAAGGTTATGCGTTAGGCAAATACTAAAAAAGCTACCTTCTTTTTAAAAATTATTTAAGTTGATGTCATTTTTCTGCCCTTTTTTTTGTCTTTAGTGATTCTTTTAAGATTTTTCGTTTTGTTAATTTTAATCTTTACTGTTTAGATCCTTTAGAAGGACTTGAAAAGTTTGACAAAAAAATGAACTCAAATTTTAAATTTCACTAAAGACAGTTTTTTTTTTTTTTTAATTTTTTGGTTGTTGTGTGCCTTTTTAAGCAGTTGCCAAACAGAGATGAATCTTGTTTAAAAAGTTGTTTTTTTAACAAATGTCGGCTGAAAAAGCAGTGGCCAAATGGTCAAGATTGTTTTGGTTAAAATGCCAAAAAGTGGCTAAAAAAGTCGTAGCCAGACAGGGTCTTGAAGTGACAATGTTACACAATCTTCGATCTTGGCTTGTTCTGTTAGGGGTTGATACAATCTTGAAGGAGTAGTGATGCAGAACTGGAACACACCAAATTTTGGCATTACAATTTTGTAAGTTTATGGTTAGTGGCCTCTTTAGTTTCCTAATTTAATTGAGTCTTATTAAGAGTCTTTGCTTTTCAAATTATATTAGGGTTTAGTTTTCCAATTTGATTAGCACTAGTGGTCTATAAATATTAGGTTTTCACATTGAAGATTTTAGCTTTGTATTAATAATATTGAGTGTTAAGGATGTGACCGTTGTGATTAGAGAACACAGATGTCGTCCTTGTATTCTTCCTCTCCCCTTTCTTTCTTTCTTTCTTTCTTTCTCCCTCCCTCCCCGTTCTACATCAATTTGGCATTAGAGTCTTACCTTGATTGATTGACAAACCCTCTTCATTGTGACCCTAGCTTGTAGAAGACGACAAAACTTGTCAACTCCTGTCACTGGAAAACCCTTCTCTGTCATGACCTTTTGCATCACTTTTTAAGCTTGTTCAAACTAATCAGCAATAGGGAGGTCCCCAATTTTGTTGCGTTTCACCTCATTGCGGTGTCACTGCCTTGCACCATGGCCATCGCAATCTATCCCTGTCGAGGAGATCTCTGCTGGAATACATAATATTGTATATTTAGGAGATCCCATGATTTCTATAAATTACGGTTATTTAGGGATTTGATTTTTAAGATTTGATTGTGTAATTATTTAATTCTTTTTTCCTGTGTATCATTGATTATAAATAGACATGGTCTCACCCAAATTAGGGTAAGCCAATATTGTTCAACTTTCTTCTTGGTATCAGAGCAAAGAAACCCTAGCCGCACCTACCCATTACCACCGCCAGCCTCTCCTCCCTTTCCTAGTAGCCGACTCACCTACCCAGCCCCCTTCAACCACCTTACACCACCCGAAACCCTTTCTCTCTTCCTCGACAGTCCTTTCCAGTCACTGTCGGGGTTCCTACAATAGTCGACCAGGCTTTGTCTTGGTTCTGTGCAGTTCGGCATCCTTCTACGGTGGTTCGGGCTGGTTTCTAACCCTTTTAGGGTTGTGTGTTGCTAATGTGGTAAGCAACTTGTGTGTGTTCCTTATTACTTGGGCTACCGGTTTGTTCGGTAGCATATCTTTTGTGTGACATCGCTACTTCGACTTCGTGGTGTTTTAGAATGTCTGACTTTGTTACACCAACCCAGAGCATTATGCCTCGTTCAGATGTTTCCCTTGCCTTCCATGTTTTGGTTCATCGGATCACTAGTGTGTTGCTTAATGGTCGCAACTTTGCTGCTTGGAGTCGGTCTATATGTCTTTACCTTGGGGGTAGAGGCGAATCTGGATGGCTTCTGGAAACCGAGACACAACCTCTCGCTGATGATCCTAAGCGGGTTCAATGGGATATTGACAATTGCACCTTACTTGGTTGGATGTTCAACTCTATGGAAGAACGCATCTATAACATGTTCATGTACTGTGATACTATTCCTCGGTTGTGGAGTGCTCTTACCTAGATGAACGCATATGCCCATATTGATGCTAGGATTTTCGAACTCTATCAGGATATTTCTCATGTCTCTCAGGAAGCTTTGGGTTTTACCGTTGTCGAATTTTTTGGATAGCTGGGAGGAGTTAACACAGTATGAGCCATTGAGTGATTTTCCAGCTGTTGCTGCTTCTATTGTGTCTGCTCATCTTGCTGGCCAGCACACCTATCAATTTTTGATGGGTTTAAAACCTGAATTTGAGTATTTTCGTATTCAAATTTTGAACATATCACCTATGCCATCCTTACATGAGGCTTTTGCTACTATTGGCAGCGAGGAGCGTCGTCGTCGATTGATTCAACCGGTGGCTCCGCTTCCTTCCTCCGTTCCTGCTTCACCTTTAGTTTTAAATCAAATGGCTCTTGCTGCCAAGTTTAGTTCTTGTGCTTCTAGTAGCAAGGTTATTTGCCACCATTGTGGCGCAGTTGGTCATGTCCAAGCACGGTGCTTCAAGTTTCATCCTGAGTTGAAGCAACGCTTTGCAAGGACACGCTCTTCAGGCCCTTCCTATACTACTGTTATTGCTGACACATCTAGTACTCCTCAGCCGACTCATTCTGTTGATCTTTATTAGCTTCAATCTCAAATTGGTCGCCTTCATGAGCAACTTGGTTTATTCACTACCATATCTCCAAGTGTCCCTTCCACTGCCACACTAGCTACAGGTACTGACCGGTGAGTTTTCTTGTTTATCCTCTCCTGTCCCTACTACCGCTCAGACTGTATGTCTTGCTGATGGGTCTATTTCACATGTCCAACATAAGGGTGATGTGTCCTTGTCGTTTGATCTTACACTTCTGTCTTACATGTGCCCCGTTTTGCTTATAATCTTCTCTCCATTAGTCACCTTGCTAAAAACCTCGATTGTGCTGTTATTTTCTTACCTACTCATTGCTTATTACAGGACCTGATTTCGAAGAAGATTTTTGGCAGGGGGTTTGAGCGCGACGGGATATACTACTTCGGGGACCCAACACCTTTCCATCCTACCACTTCTGGCCTGCAAGCAGCTGTGTTACCTGAGCCGTCTTCTTATGTGTTTTCTTTTTAGACTTTAGCCTTATAGCATGCTTGCTTAAGACATGTAAACTTTAATTATTTATGTTTACTTTTTCCGTCACTTAATAATGCTTGCAAGGATTATCAGTTTCATTGTGTTGTTTGTGAACTGTCTAAACATACTTGTACTTCTTATGTTCCTCGCATGTATCGCGCCTCCTGTATGTTTGACCTTATTTACTCTGATATCTGGGGTTCTTCTCCTCTTTTGGCTTTTTTTGGGCGTCGCTATTATGTGACTTTCATAGATGACCATTCGAGGTGTACTTGGGTTTATTTGCTTAAAAAAAGTATGATGTGCTTTCACTTTTTATTCAATTTCTACAAATGATCCAAACCCAATTCCACAATGTTGTACGCAATATTCATTCTAATAATGGGGGAAAGTACATCTCTGATGCATTTCGCTCCCAACTTAATCAGCATGGAATTTTGCAGCAACTCACTTGTACTTGCACCCCTGAACAAAATGGGATTGTTGAACGTAAAAACGGTCATATTATGTTTGTTGTCCGGGGTCTTCGTTGTGGGATGAATGTCCCTAAAGCCTACTGGCATATGGCTGTGCTTACTGCTGTTTACCTCATTAATCGGACACCTAATTGGATTCTTCACAGGTTGGCCCCTTTTCAATTACTTCGTCCAGATACCGTGTTATTTCCTCGTATGCCTCGTGTGTTTGGTTGTACTTGTTTTGTTTAGGATTGTAGTCCTACTCGGACCAAGTTAGATAACAAGTTTCTTAAATGCATCTTCTTGGGCTATTCAGCTCTCTCTAAAGGCTATAGGTGCTATGAGTTGTTGTCTCGTTGTTTTTATCATTCTATGGATGTCACATTTTGCGAAGATATGCCATTTTTTGGTTCTAACCCTATGTTTTAAGATTCCGCCTCGAGTGCACCGCCTCTTGCTGTGTCACCGAAGGCTCACCCTGTTCCTATCATTGATTCATTTGCTCCTTCATCATCGCCTGTATTTGCAACTGCCAGTCCTCCGCCATTACATACTCTTGTCGCCCTCATGCTCCGCCCCCTCCAGCATCTTCTTCGCCCTCAAGCCCAGGTACTCCCTCTACTATTCACTTCCCAGCTCCTTTCCGTTATCCAACCCGTGAACACCGTCCCCCTAATCGGTTTTGTTGGTTTAGTAGTACTAATCACCCTATTTCTCAGTTTTTTTTTGTTATTATGCCCTTTAGCCTTTCATCGGTCTTTTCTTGGCAAGCTTGAGTCGGTCTCTATCTCGCGGTCTGTGTCTGAGGCTCTCCAGAATCCCTAATGGGTTGCAGCTTTGCAAACTGAAATGGTTGCTTTGGAGCGTAATCACACTTGGGATCTTGTCTCTTTACCCTCTGGTGAGACGACTGTTGGGTGCAAGTGGGTTTTTACTATCAAATACTTCGCTGATGGTACTGTGGACCGATATAAGGCTCGTCTTATTGCTAAGGGCTTTACCCAGGTTCTTGGCAAGGATTTTGGAGCTACGTTTGCACCAATTGCTAAATTGACCACTGTTCGTTTGCTTATTTCCTTGGTTGCCTCTTCTTCTTGGCCTTTTCATCAACTTGCTGTCAAGAATGCTTTTCTACATGGAGACTTAACTAGAGACGATCTACATAGATCCTCCACCCGGGTTTCAGGTTGAAGGTGAGTATGCTGCAAGGTCTGTCGTTTGCGTAAGTCTCTCTATGGCTTGAAGCAATCTCCTCGTGCATGGTTCCACCGTTTCAGCTCTGTTATCCTATCCATGGATTTTATTTAGTGTCACTCCGACCATACATGCTTTATTCGTCGTCAGCCCAATGGTCGATGTATTATTTTGTTGGTCTATGTGGATGATATCATCGTTACGAGAGATGATTCCATTGGTATTGCTAACGTAAAACAGGAGCTTAGTCAAGTATTTGACATCAAGGACTTAGGTCCACTCAAATATTTCTTGGGGATTGAAGTAGCTCGTTCTCGCAGTGGGATATCATTGTCCCAACGGAAGTATACTTTTGATCTTCTTCGGGACACCGGTATGATGGGGTGCAAGCCTGCATCTGCTCCTATGGATCCAAATCTGAAACTTTCGGCTGCGTCTGGTGAGTTGCTTTTTGATCCATCTTGCTACCAGAGATTGGTAGGATGTTTGATCTATTTGACTAATACATGACCATATTTGACATTTGTTGTGAGTGTGGTTAGTCATTTTTATGTATTCATCTCGTACTGCTCACCTTGATGTTGTTCACCATCTCTTGAGATATCTCAAGTCATGTCCAGGTTTGGATTTATTCTTCAATAGTGGAATTCAGATAGGATTGTCTTGTTTTACTGATGCAGACTATGCAGGTTTATTGACTGACAGACGTTCCACTTCTGCGTATGCACTTTCCTTGGTACCCATCTTCTGTCATGGAAAAGCAAAAAACAAGCGGTTGTTTCTTGATCATCTGCTGAAACTGAGTACCGAGCCATGGCTCATGGGACATGTGAGTTACTATGGCTTCGGTCCATTCTTACTGAGTTAGGCTTTGAGGAGAATAATTCCTCCAAGCTATTTTGTGACAATAAGTCTGCCATCTTACTTGCCTCCGACTCTGTACTTCATGAGCGTACTAAGCATATTGAAGTTGATATTTATTTCATTTGGGAAAAGGTTCGAGCTGGCATTGAATGTCTCTCATTTGTTCCATCTTCTGATCAGATTGCCAACATTTTCACCAAATCTGTTGGACCATCCCTACTTCGATCTTCAATTGACAAGCTGGGTTTGGTTGACATTTTTGATCCAGCTTGAGGGGGAGTGTTGGAATACATAATATTGTATATTTAGGAGATCCTGTGATTTCTATAAATTACGGTTATTTAGAGATTTGATTTTTAAGATTTGATTGTGTAATTATTTAATTCATTTTTCCTGTGTATCATTGATTATAAATAAACATGGTCTCACCCAAATTAAGGTAAGCTAATATTGTACAACTTTCTTCTATCTTTGTATGTGATCCATCGTCGTTGTACATTGATCTTCAGTTGCTTGAGGAAATCGCTATAGATCGCTAAATCAAGGATTATATTGACCATTAGCTTGACCCATCACACAAGAAATTGACCCATCTTCTTGAGCCGTTGAGTCTTGACCCAACCCATGAGCAAAGCCTCAACCCATCCAACTTTTAGAACCTTAACTTAAACCTATGTTACCTAGAATATGGTTCGTTCCGGTACATGGAACAGGAACGGAAATGGGAATATGGTACGTTGTATGCTCTATAATGTGATACGATAAGAGTAGATTTATATATATTACACTTAAGAATTTAAGGTATTTCTATGAAAATCATGATCCATTTTTTTATTTTTTTATCTTGTCAAAACTCAAGTCACCTAAGATTTTAGTTCGTATATTTGATTTTTTTTCTCCTAAGGTAACATTTAAAGAAATATATTGGAAAAAATTTTTGGGATCACTTCGGATCACTGAATTTACCATTTTGGAACGACAGTGTACCATGTTTTGGAACATGTGTATCAATATGTAAATCGCTAGGGTATAAGTGTTTTCTAGTAACATAGACTTAAACCAACTCACTTAACCAAGATTTGGTCCATCCCATCTTACTATTCAACAGTACCGAAAAAGCCCAAAACCCTTTTTATAATAATCCTTGATCCAGCCCATATCCACTTAGACCAGCCCAAACTTCCAATTGAAACCATTCCAGCCATTCTAAATCAAGTCAACCTAGTTCAACATACTAATTTAAGTCAAACCCTTCCAGCTTTTTAAAAAACTCTTACCATGATGACCAATTCTGAATGAATTAGAGGTTGAAGTCCTTGCTCATGGCCAACAAGAAATAAGGCGAATTTATAAGCAAATGATAGATTTGAATGAGCAAATATTAGAGCAGATGGTTTATATCAAAGCAACTTTGGACAAATTATTAACCGATGTTTTAGGAGATACTTCAAATTTCTCGAAGGGGTTATGAAGATCAAGTGAAATTTGTTGATCAATGAGAAAGGAGATGTGCATTTGACAGAGTAATAAGAAGATGTCAAAGTCCCAAAAGTGAAAGGATACTCTTTTGTGCCTCTCTCTCCTATTTCCCCCCTTCCTACCAAACATAGCATTTAAGGTGCACTGATGGAGGATGTTTTTCCCATGGATTCTGTCATACGCTCTTTATCTAAATATTCTGAAAATACATGCATATGTTTATTTATCCCATTCATGAACACTACTCATAACATAGATTTTTAGAGCCTGACTTGTGGGTCCAAATTTTGTTTCATTCTAGCTTTCCGCCTTAAAGTGAAGATTGAGCTATTTGAGGCCATTATTTTGTAGGAGCCCAGGCATTTGATGTAGAATATGCACGGTGGCTGGAAGAGCACATCCGACGAGTCAATGAGCTGAGGGGAGCTGTCAACTCCCATGCGGGTGATGGTGAACTTCGCATAATTGTGGATGGGATCTTGGCTCACTATGATGACATTTTCAGGATAAAAGGTGATGCTGCCAAGGCTGATGTCTTCCATATATTGTCAGGCATGTGGAAAACACCTGCAGAGAGGTGCTTTTTGTGGCTTGGTGGATTCCGTTCATCTGAACTACTTAAGGTGACAACCGCATCTCATCTCTCTCTCTCTCTCTCTCTCTCAACAACAACGCATACAGATAAACCCAATTAATCTCATTATTATTATTGTCATGCTGGTGTTGTTATTTTAGTTTTATTACTAATGCCACTACTGCTTCTTAGGTTGGCTTTTAAAATTTGTTGCGTCTTTATGGTGATTTTTTTGTGCAAATCCATGCCGCTAGTGGCTGAATATATATATATATATATATATCATATAGAAGATATGTTGTTGTATATATCGGGTATATTACTGATATAAAACGCAATATAGAGAGAGAAGGTATAATTCCATTAACCCTCATACAACGTTGATTAACACTAAACAAATATAAATAAAAGCCCTGATTACTAAAATGTAACAAAAGTACAACAATACCCCTAAACTACAAGAGAATACAAAATACATCTTCGCACCCCCTTCAAAGGAGGGATTTCTGTCTCCATGCATGGAAGAGACTAGAAAATTTTCTTTACTGTCAGATATGAGTTCTTCAAACATCAATAAAAAATGATAAGATCCAAGTGTCTAATTTAGGTATTAGGGTCGCACAAATTACATATTTTTACCGTTGTCATATCTGGTGGACATGGATACATGGGAGGAATAGAAGAGCCCACTGTATAGAAATCAATGCATATGATCTTATATTCTGTAGATAAATTCAATACATATATTTATTTGTTTATGTGTGTGGATGTGTGAAACAAATACAATCTTAGCCTTGGAGTTAAGTTAGGTCGAGTCTCACAAATTTTAGATGTGGTCCAAATGGAAGTTTCAATTTTAAGGCTAGCACACTGAACATGAAATGAAGGTCTAAAAATAGTATAAACATTTTGTTGAATTCACAAAATTTCAATTAATTTATTTGTTCTTTGCTGCAGTCTACATTGGACATCACCAGCACACCTTGATGCATTCAATGCAATACATAACGATCTTGGGCAAGTGTTGCCTTACTTTAGAAATGATAGAATAAGGACAGAGGCCAAAAACAAATATTAGAAGTAATGCTTTTTTTCCTTTTTATTTTTTCTTTTTTTTTTCCGTTTTTTTTTGTTTTTTTTGCACGTGTGTTTCTTACCTTTATATTCGTGAAAGATGGCTTTCCTTTTCTTTAGGATCTGTTCTTGGCTTGTACATTTAATCATTTTGGTTCAATTTCCTTATTTCTTTCTTCTTATTATTTTTTTGTTGATTACAAATCTGCAAAATTTTACAAGATAAGCTCTCTCTCTCTCCCTCTCACCAAATTTTATTGGTGTACTTTTTAGGGCAGTTTCAATTTATAAGGTAAGCAAGCTATTCTAGATGTGGTGCTTGATTTCATTCCATAATTACTGTGTAGGAGTTGTGGATGCTTAATCCCACATTTTAGCATCTATTGGATCAATCAATTATACATTAGAGACACTAAATTCTTCTGAAGCAATTTCTCACTTTTAAGATAAAATGTAATGAGCTATTTGAGACTCTAGAAGTTTTGATGTTTTTTAAGTTCTTGATCTGTCTTCTTTGTGTGTACTAATGGTATAGAACTAATTTAGATTTATAATAGGTCTGGCCAATTTAGTCAAATTCTATGAAAATCTTCAAAATACATGCTCTCGGGAAACCCTTTGCCTGCTGCTATTTGTGGTTTTGCTTCATTTCCTGATCAGTGTATCTACTTAGTAGCACAATTTAAGTTCATTTTTACTTTGACGGGTATGTCTGCTTACATGCTAGGTAACTTGTGAATTTTTTTTCTCACCTTTGTCCATTGGTTCGATCATTTCCTATTGCTAATATTTCATGCATTTTTTTTATTTTTTATGTTTTTGGTTCTAAATTTAAACCTACATGGTTGTAGCTGCTTATGAATCAGCTGGAGCCTTTGACAGAGCAGCAGTTGTTGGGCATCACCAAATTGCAGGAATCGTCCCTACAGGCAGAAGATGCTTTGTCCCAAGGAATGGAGGCATTGCAGCAATCCTTGGCTGAGACGTTGGCCGGATCTCTTGGCCCTTCTGGTTCATCTGGTAATGTTGCAAACTACATGGGACAAATGGCCATGGCAATGGGAAAACTAGGAACTCTTGAGGGCTTCATTCGGCAGGTATTTTTTTTGAAAAACAATAGTTAATTTCATTTTAGTGAGCAAGTTCAGCTTTTATCCCCTCACTCTCTCTACCTGTCTGTCTGTCTGTCTCTCTCCAATTGATCTTTGTTGATAAATATGCGAGTTATGTAAGACCAAATGTTGATTAATATTCAGGCTGACAATCTACGGCAACAAACATTGCAACAATTGCACCGTGTATTGACAACCCGCCAATCAGCTCGTGCCTTGCTTGCTATAAATGATTATTTCTCTCGGCTTCGAGCTCTTAGCTCTCTATGGGATGCTCGTCCCCGGGAATGAGAAGCATGATATATTCTTTGTTTCTGATTTTAGTTTGAAAGAAGGGTCTGGCTGTGTGTTCTTAGTAGTACCAAATATGATCTGCCTGCCCAACTGATGGGTTTGTTGTCACGGATTCAAAATTAGGGTTGTGTTTGTTTCTGTAGCAGCATGGCGTCGTCGGACACACCTTTGGTTTCATATTTAGAGTTGTACTTAGCTTTGTATTATCCTTCAGGGTTTGTATTTTATTTTTCCTTTTAAAAGCAAAATTTGCTGCAACATAGGCAGTAATTTATGTTATCTAGATATTATTCTAATCAACAGAAATTCAGTTTTATTTTTAATGAAAATGGATTTGAATGCTAGTGCTACGACCTGATCCATATTTTTTTTATTTTTTAATATTTGGAATTGATATTTATGCTTATACAATTAGGTGAAGAATTCCTCCAAAAAAAAAAAGGGGCCAATATGAATTCTTAAGCGAATTAGATTTGAAAATATTTTGTGGCTTTGGTATGTCATGAATATTAATTGTATATTATGTACATGTTGACATTATATGCATATATGCAGGTGTAATTTACTTGGTTTTTAAAAAAATAAAGAGAAGAAAATGCACTTGCCTATATTTATATCTAGGATTTAAATATTAAAATTTTATGAGAACTCAACTATAAAAGATATTATTTTTTTTATTTGATATTATATATAGATGAGTTAGTAGAAGTCCAGAGAGACTCTAGGTGATTTCTGGCGTTGCTTCGACTACGTTTTGGTGATTCATTTTACACTTTTAAATTATAAATCTACACTTAAAATATAGATCTACAGTTTTAGAGTATAAATTTGGACTTTTTATATCCAAAATCCAAAATAGAAATTTTGAGAGTTTTCTCTTCTGATTTTGGCATAATTTTTTTATTTTTCAACACCAACAATGGTTCTGTCTACTCTCAAGCCTTTTCCCATACCATTGTGGGCAAGGATGTGCGCGGTGCGGTTCAGATAGTTTGAGAGTAAAATTATAAATCGAATGGCAGATTAGCGGATTGATAGATTTGTAAATTGTGGTTTGAGCAGTTTTAAGTATATTGAAGAATATTCTAACTAATTATCAAGTTTTTGCATAATATAAAACACTAATTTAAATAATATTTTTCATATATATAACACAATTTGTGAGTGTACTTCTCTTTCCACCGGCAACGGCGGCAGCGGTGGAATTAGGCAATAGCAACAGGGATGACATTGACAGGGACGGCAGGCTTTCAAGTAGATTTTGCTTTTCAAACCACATCTTTGAATATATCGATGTAACTGTTTTTTTGGCAGATTTTATTTTATTTTATTTATTTAATTTTTTGGTTGGGATGACTCTTTGAGATCTTGTTTATGTATAGTTGCTGTTTTGTTAATATAATGTTTTCCATATTTTCCAAAATATATATATATATATATAGATGAGTTTGGTGAGTTTCAAAATTATAAATACTATTTTTAGAGCTGAATTTGAGATGAGATTTTTAAAGTATAGTCTTTGATGTCTTGATAACTACCAAAAGGTTTCTTCGGTTACTCAACCATGTGTCTAATTCAAACGAGTACAGGACACAATGGCTGTAAATATATGTTACTGAACTACCCCCTATTTCAATTCTACCTAAAATGTGATTGGATTTTGATTTTGTAAAGTCCATTTACAAAGAAGGAAAAAAAGAAAGGGATTTTTATTTATTTTTTATTTTATGGTACAATACCTTATATTTTATTCAAAAATTTCTTCTTTTTTACTTTCCCCTCACAAATTCTTACATTGAGAAAGGAAAAAGAAAATTAAATGACTTTATTAAGCAAAATCAAATACTTATGTAGCCAACGGACTGACAGACTGCATCACTTCCGTTGTAATATAATTTACTAACCTACTAATATTTTATCGTTTGAAAAAAAAAAAAAAACCAAAGCAGCCAACGAGTAGAGGTGAGATTGTGGTAGGGCTTCTTTTAACTTATATTTTTACAATTTGCTGACTCCTCTTCCTCATGCCATCTTTTAAGAATTAGACAAATATCATTTTCCCATGGATCATGAACCAAATTTTGAGCAATTCTACTGAGTTCGAAATTGTGTAGTTAAAGAACAATTCTCAACAGCTTAAATGGCTGAAATTCTAATTTTGTTCATTTATTTATTTGCAAAGAAGATTAATTATAAATATGTAAAAAATTACATCAAACTAGACAATTATAATTTAGCTACACATGGCTAAAAGCCTACCAACCAACACACGAAGAAATAAACTCCTTAATACAGCCAAAATAATGAGAGAAAAAAATCAATTTACAGTGGCTAACTGAATTAACCCAATTGGTTTCTAATTTTCCTTTAAGACGAGTGAGATAGTGAGAGAAGAGGAGAGGATCTAGATCCTTCTCTATTTTGTACAGGAAATGGAGAAAGATAAATCAATAGATCATGGCTGTTCATTTGAAAATATGCAGCCATGATTTTACTACTTCCCTAAAAGCATGGTTGAAATCCACACTTCTAAACCACAGTTTAAATGAAAGCCACCCTCTCACCTTTTAAAAGTATGATTACCAACTATGATTTGAGTGTCATAATCATAATCATCTTATCCATTCATTCTTTCAGCATACAGCTCGAAGCATTGACTCTATGACTAAATAGAAGGGACATGATCCAAATCCGGCCCCAACACAAAGTGAAGTCAAAACAAATGCATGAATGCTTTTGTCCCAATCAAAAGCATTCATACTATTTGGTTTCCGTCAAACTTTATAACAAAAAATGGAAGATATATTGTGCTTTGGATCCCCTTATAAATAATTTAATAGAAAGACAACACATTTTGGATACTATCTGTTAGTAGATATTTTAATATTATAATGTGTTGTAATATATATTGTTTGCTTGGGCTCTAAGCAACTTGTTCTCCAAGCTACCTTTCTTTGCCTCTAAATAAAGTTTCTTTCCCTCCAAGTTCTCTTTTCTTTTCCTCCAAGTAACTCTTATTTTATTTTATTTTCTTTTTCTTTTGCTCCTAGTTTCCTCTCCAATAAATTGAGCTAACCTCTTATCTTGAAAAAAGAAAAAAGAAAAAATAAGTGTTTGTTGTTTTATTATTTTTGTGTGAAATTATCAGGTAAAGAAATAAAGGGTATATGTGATGAAACGTTGGGTTCTTCAACCAATTTTGCAGTATGGTGAACTATACGACATAGTCCGGCTGTTGTATCCTGGGAGGGGGGACGAATCAAGATTTTTTCTACTGCATCGGTGTAAGGCTTTGCCTAACCGTAGAGGGCTTAAATCTTCTTAAAGATAGCAAATTTCCCGCGCCTCAGTCCTTTCAATAGTTATTGTAATTTTAATTATTTGTATTTTCTGGTATTTTATTTGTAATTATCACCAACACTATCTATCCCAAATGCACACACAAAACCCCTAATTATAGATGACCATCCATGTTGAAGCAAATTTCCTTTGGCTCAATATCCGAAAGTCAAAAACCGGGTGAATTTGGCATTTGGTACCTTTTGGATCATAGATGGCAAAGCAACAAGTGTTAACCTAAAACATTGACATTTTAGTAGCATACTTCTTCACCCCACTTCCTCCTTTCATTTCCACACAATCCACTTGCTAAGGATATACTAACATAGTCATTCAATTGTTTTGCACCTTATAAGCAATTGCTACAGAGCTGAAGAGTTGGGAATGACATGACAGTCACATTTTTTTCTACTGCATCAAAGATGTACATTAGTGGTTGGGCTATCATAGGATGGCAATTTCATAATATGTATGTGTAACAACCCCGACCTGTCATTAGCTGATTAACCAGGATTAATTATGCCCAATAAGTAATTAAGATGAAATCCTTGGTAAATTACATGTGTTATGAGCTATATGAGTCTCTATCTGTCTATCATAAGAATATCTATTTTTGTTTCTGTTTTGTACTGCAAATTGAAGGCTTTATCGGCATTCGATCACGAAATTGACTTAATTTATGTGCTATTTAGGATTTTTAGAACATTATGGTAGGTTTAATTAGAATCCAACTCGGAACGATTTAATTAGAATAATTACTGCTCAATTAAACCTAATTAATGAATTCCTTAATCCAAGCCCATATAAGGCCCCTATTATACCTCCACTCATTCTTTTCTTTCATTTCAACACATCTTTGAGCTAGCGCACACAAACAAATGTGAGAGAGGGAGAGAAAGGAGAGATTGAGCTCAATCAAAGGATTTGCTAGAAATTCAAGGAATTAGACTTAGAAACACAAGGATCAAGCTTCTAGCTCTCTCATTGACAAGCCTGGGTAAGAATTCAACCTTTAGTACAATTATGATGTGTAGGACAAGAACTCTAGAGAATTAAGTTAGATGATACAAGGATTGAGTTAGAAATGAAGAGAATTGAACCATATCATGCATGCTTGCATATATCATGATATTTTGAGTAGATTTATAAAGAATATTGACATGTATGTGTCTATCTTGACTTGATTTTGAGAAGTCATCACATTTCTTACCATTTGACCTTAATTGATCATGTTTTAGAAAGTCTAAGTTCAAAGTAATTCATACATGTCATGTTCATGGCATATTCATAAATTTCAAGTTGGAGTTTTTGTCAATTGGCATGCTTTGGAGCATTGATTTAGTGAAATGATCTTCAAATCATGGTATTTTACAAGTTTCTAAATGTTTTATGGAATTTTGGCTCAAAAAGATGAGTTTTGAAGTGTGTAGTTTGAATTTTAGACTTGGGAGTGCAATATGGAAATTCTAGAATTTGCACCATCCGCTCGAGCGACAAATCCTGTGCTTGAGCGACCACTCTGTGATCTTGCGCTTCCGCTTGAGCGACCAAAAGTTGGCTCGAGCATGAAATGCAAGCTCCTAGAAGTTTTCTTGTTTGCAAACTGCTCGAGCGACAAGAATTGCACTCGAGCGAGGACCTGAGTCTCACACTCGAGCGACCGTCGAGCGGGAAAATCAAGCAACTAGTACTTTTGTAGAAGTTTACAGACCGCTCGAACGACAGAAGTTGCGCTCGAGCAACCACTCAAATTTTGCATATCCACTCGAGCGAAGAAAGTTGAGCTCGAGCAGGACCCCTGTTTCCAACATTTTTGACCAAGTGTTTACAAATGCATTTTGGTATCCACGTTGCATCCTAAGTATTCCTAGGCCAAGATTAAGACATAATATGAAGAATAAGGGCTAGAAACACACTAAGAATGAAACGAAAGAAGTTAAGTGCCAATCAAGTGTGTGTTTCATTATGTATTTCTGTTATG